ATTAATTTCACTTAGGAGTATATCCTCAATATGTATCCATTTTCCAATGAATGAATCTAATTTCTCATTCATTTTAAAAATGTTCGCATTCTTTATGGCTGAGTAATATTCCATTTCATAGAAAAACCACATATTCTTTATCCATTTTCCAACTGATGGGCAAATGGGCTGTTTCCAAGTTTTAGCTATTAAAACTGTGCTGTTACAAACACAGGTGTGCATATATCTCTGTGATATGATTCTTTTAATTCTTTTGGAAAGATACCCAGCAGAGGGATGGCTGGGTCAAATGGAACCTCTAGTCCCAGTTCTTTGAGGTATCTCCATATTGATTTCCGCAGTGGTTGCACACCATATTAAATGGCCAAAAACTGAAAACTTTCACGTTAAAATCAGGAACAAGACAAGGATGCCCACTATCACCACTCCTCTTTGATACAGTTCTGGAAATATTAGCCACAGCAATTAGACAAGAGAAAGAAGTTAAAGGAATAAAGATAGGAAAGAAAGAAGTTAATCTGTCATTGTTTGCTGATGATATGATACTCTACATTAAAGATCCAGAAAACTCCACCAAAAGACTTCTAGAATTAATTGACACTTTTAGCAGAGTAGCTGGATACAAGGTCAACACCCAAAAATCAATAGCCTTCTTGTACACAAATAACAGACTCAGAGAGAAATTAGGGAAATTATTCCTTTCACAATAGCATCCAAAAAATGAAGTATCTAGGAATCAATCTAAAAAAAGAAGCAAAAGACCTCAACACTGAAAACTATAGCACTTTGAAAAAAGAGATCAAAGAGGATATAAGAAAATGGAAAGATGTCCCCTGCTCCTGGGTAGGAAGAATCAACATAGTGAAAATGGCCATACTTTCAAAATTGCTATACAGATTCAATGCAATGCCAGTTGAAATTCCAACACTATACTTCACAGAACTGGAAAACAAATCCAAAAATTCATTTGGAACCATAAGAGACCTAGAATAGCTTGCAGGAATTTATGAGCAGATTCTTCCCTACTTGAGTTTTTCATGAGTCACCAATCTGGTGAGACCCAGAAGCAGAGAAACTGAGCCTCGACTCCGTGCCTGGAATCCTGACCCACAGAAATCAGGAGACAATCCGTGGTGGTGGTCAACGCTACTAAGTTCACTGTGGTTTGCTACAGAGTGGTAGAAAATATTAGAGGAATATAAAGAGATTACTCCTGGTTTGACTGAATGTTGCCTCAGCAGACTCTGAGTAGGAGGCAGGTCGGGCAGTGTAACTCCGTGAGTGCAAAGGAGGGAAACACAGTGGACAAGCACAGATGTCTCCTCTAGAGATTCACCTAGGACTCAAACAGGAAGGGAGGGCTGTGGTTTTGAGGATAAGATTCTGTATTGTTTTTAGATTTTTAATAAAGAAAACTTTAAGTATGTTTAAAAGTCTGCTTCTCACAAGGATCAAATTATTTGTCCTAGAAGTTTACTTGGGTATATGAGATGCAACATACCTAAAACTAACAGTACACAGTGAACTAAGAGGTGTATCGGGAGACCTAAGGCTGATTCTACTATTGACTATAGTGTAAAAGATTATATAAGGTTATAAAAGAACGCAGTATAATCTGTATTGTTCAGCAAAACCTTCCTACATGAAACATCTCCAGAGGAGGGAGGGTTCTCTTTTCATCTGGAGCACCCTACAATATAAACACATTTCCACTATTTCTTTCCATTTTAATTAAATGAAGCCACTATTTGACTTGCTATAAGGATTTTCCAGACAGCAGCTTTTCACAGGTGTTGAACACAAGTCCTACGCTGGGCTCTATACTGCATACACGAGTCATAGGGAAAGAACTGTGCTATGTGTTAGGTAAATGACCCTCACGAATTACAATGTAACACTGCAGCAAGGTCAGCTTTGCAGCATCTGTACCTTGCCTTGCATTATTTTTTCTCTAAATAGGGGTGATAATTTTTATAGACCTGCATTTCTGCTATCAAAGACAACCCTTATTATTGTCAAATAAAAGATTACTTGGGGGCTGGGGATTTAGCTCAGTGGTTCCGCAACCTGCCTCGCAAGTGGCAAGGACCAGAGTTCGACCCCCGGTACCAAAAAAAAAAAGAGGATCACTTGGATATAACAATAATAGGAAGCAAAGAGAGACAGAGAAAGAGACAAAGGAAAACTTGCTGTATATGACCCAAGGACTAATATACAAAAACTTATTGACATATCTGCCTAATTCTCAAGACAATCATATAAGCTAGATCTATCATTACGCTCTCTTTTTAAGTAAATAAACCAAGTCATGCAGAGTACTGTGATATTGATTATGCCCAAGGTGGGCTGTGAGGAGTTTACCCTACAACTGGCTGTTTATAGAAGTGAGTCTGGCCGAAGCCTACGTGCCAAGGTCAGAGTAACTCCCACCCAAATTCCGTTCCCACGACTAAAACCTTCAGACTAGAAGGACAATGTTCTGATTACAACCCTATGTTTTGTCTATTCTCTTCCTAATTTGAGAATGCTTTGTCTTGTCCTTTATGAGCCTTGTTTACGTTAATTTCTCTAGAAACTGCACACATCTTGCCTTTACCCTGATTGGTAGCCAGTAAAAGTCAGTGCCTGGGACTGGCCGGCACCTTTGTCGGCTGTGTTGGCACTGGTTGCCTTGGTGCCCCTCTTTTTCTCCTAATTTTTTAGTTTTCTTTCTCAGGCCTACATCAAATACTGGGCAGGATCCTGGAACCCAACTGCAGGGGCCTTCAGTAAGTCATAGATTTGAAACAATAATACCCAGCATCCTGTAGTTGGTCACATTAAGACATTAGAGACTAAATCCTTTGGTGAATCTCTGAAGTTAATAGTCTTAAGTAGCATTACATGCTGCTTTTATTATAAAACTTTGGTGGATTTCTCTCAAGAATTAATAATGCTTTGTCTGAAGACAAGAAGCACTTCTCATTATACTAGCAAGGGATAATGAAGACTTTCAGAGGAAAATAAAATTGTACAGCATTTTCATTTCAATTAAAGATGTATTATGTAAGCAACAGTTGTATAATTTAACTTTTTAGTTACATATCAGGTTCCTTAATATATGTGCCTTACATGACATCACAGTAAGCCTCTGCAGTGAAATATGTCTGTCGTTATGAGCACACTATATAGATGACTTACATCATCTGCAAGGGACTTACATCCCTTGACTGAGGACCGTGGTTTTCGACCTTGCACTTGCATCATAATCATGGAGGACTTCTTAAAATGCAGATCCCTGGGCCCTGCTCTTAGGAGGCTTCCCTTAGTGGGATTGCAGTTCTAGAAGCTGGGTTTGTAATGAGCTCTCTGGGGCTGAGGCCACTGCCCGTCTGGAGAGGGCCGCTCCAGAGATCCACCCCAGGAAATCCAAATAAATATTTAGGCTCTGTGGGCCATCCGGTCTGGGGGCTGTAATTATTTCAGGTTTGTAGTGTGAGAGGAGCTCTGCACCGCACCCAAATTAACAGCTGATAGCTATCTTTCAATACAATATTATTTATGGAAATAGGTATCAGGCTGGAGTTCATCAGCAAATGACAGCTGGTCGACTGTTGGCCTACAAGACTCAGTACGAGAGCCCAGAAAGATCACCGTGTGTCTGCCAAAGAGCAATTCTACAAAGACACAATTACAAAAATACTTCCTTAGTTTTCTTTAAAAAATCTACAGTACTATGCTAGAGTCTAAGTGATTGGGTTAAAACCAGCAAAGGAATGACGTCCCAAAGTTTCCCTAGAGCCCAGTGAAGGAAAGCAAAACTTTTATGCAACAATTGTCGTATCTTAAATGCTTTTTTGCTTTAAATAATCATGAAATCTATCTCCATTTTCAAATTTTAGTTTTAATTGGATACTATTTGTATTAGAATATACAAATCTACCAATTAAAAGATTCACATTCTATGGAATGGCTTAAATGTCAGCTCAATAAGGTTATCTCTTGACTATATAATACACAAGACAAAACAAAAACATTTATTTGCCAAAAGTATGCCCTGCTATAGAGTACATGATCTTTACCCAGAGCAGTGTACTTAGAACTAATTTAAAATGAGAGCATAAAAGTAAGAGCTTATTAAACTGTATGTACTTCAGGGAATCTACTATATTAGCTTTGTCCTTAAGAACTGCAAATTTCCACAAAAGGGCAAAATTCAGATAAAATTTTTTGTCACAATGGAATGTGATTTAGTTCTCTAAAAATAATCACATTTAAACACCGCAAGAAAAATTAATACTATAGGTCATTTTAGAAACCGAGAATGTATCACGTCAGAAGTCTCCACAATCTACTATACACTACAGACCATACATATTTAAATAAAACCTCTGCAGATAATAATACATTCTAACAGTGAGTCACTTGAGTTTGGACAGAATGACTTCGCAGTGTCATTTGTGCACGGCATCCATCTTTCAGAACTTATGCCTATATTTGATTAAGTCAAAGGCTTTGCTTTGGCACACATCGTGTTTATATTTACCTCTAGGCATTTATCCTTTAGAACACAATTGTTTTCAAGGAATCTTTTACTTCTTAAGAACATGTTTTAAAAAAGAACTGTGGTCTAATGGAAACTGAAAAATGCCAACTTTAAATACATTTGCAAAGCTTCTTTACTTTAGGGGTTCTCAGAACCATTAGTAGCCATGGTACACACATCCAAGGCTCATCTGGTAAACCTTGCAGGCTCTTCCACTCTGCTTCAGCAGCAGGAAACCCAAATGGCACCGGCATATCTTATGGTCGCAGAGGAACATCTTAGGCAAATCATGCGCTCAATGCTTGCAACTCATGGAAGATAGGTAATTTGCGTTTCAAAAAAATGACTGAATTCAACAAATATATATCGAATACTTTCCTTATTTGTCCAAATATTGAAAGTTTAGCCCTTCCATTACACTATGCTACTCACCAAAATCTACCCAGAACACAATCAATCCTATAAACATACTTACACTCCTCCTCGGGCCTCTTCCGAAGGGCTGCACGGACTTCTTTACAAGGGCTTCTCTGATATTGTGAGGGATTCCTTCCCCTTATTAGGTTCTCCATCCTGAAAGAGAGAATTCAAAGAGTATTTCAGTACCAAACTCTTGACAGAGTACAAATTCAGCCTCAGAATCAGAGCCACAATTATCTACCATGAAGTTTGATAGTCAACACCATTCCTATTTCATGTCTGGCAAATAGGACAATGGTAAAGAGCGTCAGGGACTACAAACGACCAGAGAATGCTTGGCTTTTCCAAGGCTTTGCAAGTCCAAAAAGTTAGAGACATCACGTGGAAAAAACTCGCGCAGATTTTTCAATTTGAAATTATTATGGACTGAATATTCATTCACGTTCCCTCAAGATTCATTTATTGAAGCTCCTACCGGCAATGCAAAGATATCTATCTGTAAGTGGGGTGTTCCAGAGGTAATTAGGGTTAGAGGAGGTCTTGCAGGAGAGACCATCATGATAGGGTTAGGTCCTTATAAGATGAGGTACTAAGACCAAAGCTTTCACTCTGCACCCTAAACTCTCAGCAAGAAAAAAACCATCTGCAAGCCAAGAAGACCTTCTCAGGAAATGCACCTGCTGGTACTGTCATGAACTTCTCAACCTCAAAAGTAGGACTCTCCTGTGTTTATTATTTGTCCCCCACATCTGTGATAATTTGTTGTAGCAACCCAACCCAACCAAAGAGAAGACACTAATGAATATATGATTACTTTCAAGTTAGCATATTTATAAAAAAACATGGCTACCCATTACAAAGAATGTGTCTTTCAACAACATTTCACCCATATCAGGTTTCAAAAGTGCAATTATTACTTTGTTTCCATACTAACGAGAATATAAAGAGGTTTCTAATTCTAATATTTGTGAGTTCTTGGAAAAAACTGCTTACTCTAAATTGTAGTTCTCAGATACTAGTATGTGGTGACAGCCACAAACCAGAAAATGATGAGTTCATCAAATGTAACTTGAGGGAACAGATCAACAGCATATGCTTTGTGGTCAGCATCTTCTATTTCCAATAAAATTTGTTTTTCTCCTCTAATGAACACTTTGCTAATTTCTATAATGTTAACAAAATCTCTGTTAAATTTCCTGGATTTGAAAATTGAGGAAAAAAATACTGTATTTATGATTTTGAAAATATAAACATAGCTTCCTAACATCTACGCAGTTAGCTTACACCTGAGATATCACTGGTTTTGGTGGCCATCCTGGTTGGTAGATGTACATGCCACTGAAGACAGTAGGTTGTTGTGGATGTGGTGGAGTGTCTGCTAGCAGTTGTGGTACAGATGACTAACTGTGCTTTTGGTGTCTAGAGAGGACTTTGGGAAAAGTGATCCTCTAGAAGCAACAGTGAAAATGGTGTGAACTGTGAGATAAGCTGTTGTACTGGGATAGTAACATAATGCCACTCTATGGGAAGCGGTTACTGGTGCTTAAAAACCCTCCATGAAATCAGTCCATTCTTATGTAGGGGCTCTGAGTGTGTGTGTGTGTGTGTGTGTGTGTGTGTGTGTGTGTGTGTGCGCGTGTGTGAGCTAATGTGCCTATGACTGTGCGTACAACACAAGAAAATGTCCCTTCCTTTTCTTTCCTTTTGGTACTAGGGATTGAACTGAAGTATTACGCATGCAAGGCCAGGGCTACATCTACAGTGCTTTTCATTTATTTATTTTTTAAATTTTGAGATAAGATCTTGCCATGTTGCCACCTGCGCTGTAACTTGCAATCTTCCTGTCTCAGCCTCTACAGTAGTCAGGATTACAGGTGTAGCTGCCACTTCCGGCTAAGGAAGTGTTTCTTACTGATAACTTCAACCTTACTTCCACTGAAAGCTCATTTTAGTGAGAAAAAGGTATATTATAATAATACAGTGAAAAGGGATCAATTGTAAGCCTGAAGAATTTAAGACACAATTTGCTTTATCACCATACGTGAATGGAGGAGGGAGAGAATCCCTGGAGTTTTACAATGAGAACCAACCGTATAAACTAAATGATAACAAATTTCTAGTTTCTAACACTTTAGTTAATTCATTTCATAATTCTGATTATACGTTTCAGTAAATGCACAGATTTCTATGATGTTTTAATAGCAATTTAAGTAAACCTGCAATTATTCACCAGTATTTAAGAGCACAAGTTAAAAAAAAAAAAAGCAAACTGCACTTCTAATACCTATATAAAACTGTGTGCCATCTTAGAAATCAGTTTTACCCATCAGACTCCATAGTGATGTGGAACGGCAAATTATCATCACGGGAAACTTGGGTAAAACACTATTCGATGGGCTATTTTTCTTTAACATTCCTGACTCTCAAATAGGAGAAAACAAAAGTGGGCTTGTTCATTTCCACGGGGCTGTGATACATCTGGTTAGGAAGTGCTTCCAAAGCAAAAGCCCCAGAGAGTTTGCTCAAATGGTTCTGCTGACACCCAAGACTGCCAAGTCTGCCTCCCAGGAGTCAGTGCGTGCGGTGAGGCTGGATTCTGGGATCCCCTCATAGACATGCAGGAGGTTTATGCTAGGTCAGCTACTGGGCGTGGCTGAGGCTTAATCATCTTGGTTCTAGAGTCAGACTGCCTGGCCTCAATCTCCCAGACTGCCTCTCGAAGGATGAGTTTAGGCAAGGTTGTCTGCATATTTTGGGCTTTCATTTTCTCATCAGTAAAATGAAGAGAACATCAGCTACCTCGTGGTTGTGAGGATGGGATTGGTTAACATGTGAAATGCTTCACACTGTGTCTTGTAACAGTGCCAGAGCTCAGAATGTGTAGCTGTCATGAATCATGGTTATCACCAACAAAAACGAGGTCATAAACTCACATTTTCCACGTCCAGTATGTTAGGAAAGCTATCAAAATTGCTCTTCACTTCATAAAGAAAATGAACAGCTGGAACTACTGAGAACAAAATCTGACAGACAAATGTTCTGGTTATTAGAGAAACAGGAAGCCTCTGTGTCTATGAATCGCCAGTTTCCAAAGATGAAGAAATTAATACAATGCACTTCATTTTTACCAAAAGATTGAAGAGATTACTAATAATATTCTTCCCCAAATCCTTATATGGATAAAAATGGGCTTTATTCTTATGAGCTAAAGTGCTACATGTGCTACTGTTTCTGAGAAGGTTTAGAAGATACTTTAAGATTTTATAGTGACATCTGACCTCAGCAAGAACAATGAAAATACTTATTATCTATTATAATTTACTATTTACTGCATTTAATCCTTTGAATAGCCTCCTAAAAGAACATTTTAAAGATGAGAAAACCAAGGGCTTAGCAAGGCTCAGTACCTTCTTCATGGAGAGAGAGAATGGCAGAATTGAGACAACTAACTTCTGATTTTTTTATCATTTTCTAATTTCTTCTTAATCTTCTAGTTTCATGAATCCATCATTAAATATAATCCCACTGAGATTCTAGTATGGAATATATATTTAAGAGTGAATAACTTCTCCTTAAAAATAATATTAATATTTAATATATATTCACATATAAATGTAAGTATACAGAAGATATAGTGTTTAAATTACCATACAAATACACACTTGTTTGTTAATCTATTAATGTTTGGTTTCAACATTTTACTATTGTCAGTGAAATGTTTGCTTTTATTGGAGACATTTCAAGCTTTCAGGAACTGCTAAATGAATAACTAGAGCCAAAGAATTGTCTATAAAGTATGTATGTTACATTCCAATAGATGAAAATATTAAAAAGATTAAACATCCTTTTTTTTCCTTTGGAATGTTAAATGTTGTGCTCCCTGGCAACTTAGAAGCAAGTTGTAAGTTTTACAGAGCGCTGTTCACGCTCAAACTGCGACACAACTCTGAGACTTCCGTTTCCTGAGGTTACACTTCTGGTCTCTTGAAGTCTTCCACCAGTGTCATCTGTGATCTACAGCTTGCATTCAATGGTCAAACAAAATGACCACCACGGAGCACAGCCAGAACTCTACAAAGGAGCCGTTCCCACTCCTCTCAAGCTTGGCAAGCCACCGGTGGGAGTGCGCTAACAGTTCCAGGGAGGAGAGAAGATGTGTGATGACCATGGGCAAGGCAGATGCTCCAACAATTCACGGAGGGGCTCTGCAAAGTGCAGCCTACACGCTCGACTGCTGAGAAGAAACATGGGCAGCCAGATTAATACGGAACAGGGGGAAACAGCAACCGGAGGCTATGGGCAAAAGGTATTCACAACCATCTGGGTGATGCCCCAGTTCAACTAGGTTTCCAGATGACCTCAGGAGTTTTGAACACATCCGATCCCCCCACCCCCTGGTGCTAAAGAGTTTCAAGCTGAGGTCAGTCCCGACTGATGCATTTTTTCAGCAGTAATCACATTCTCCTGGAGTATCCAGGCTTGCACTTGCCAGACACTGGCATTTGGAAACCTCTGCAAACGGAAAATATAGATTGCAAATGTAAGAAACCCAAGTTCCTCTAACTAATTCAGGTGATAAAATCATCTGCGGGGCCTGGGGAGGAGTCTGCAGTTAGGGTTGGAACTATCAAAAATGAAAAGAGGACAAAGAGATGCGACCGAAATCTGGAGTTAGAAGAATCTGTTGGTTGTTCATTTATAAGGTGATCATCTTAATAGGGAAATGGTTTTCTCCAACTGAGTTTGGCAGATCCTGTCAGGTCAGAGGGGTACGGCTGATGAATGAGTATCCGGACATACTGACATGTTGGATGAGGACAGCGGAAAGAGAATGAATGATTCACTAGACAACAACAGAGCTGGGTAGGAGAATAAAGCCATTAGGTACAAGTGCTCAAAACTTCCTGTTGTTTGCCAGGTACCACGACAGTCCTCTATGTACACATTTCCTATGCCAGCCTTATTTTACCTATTTGTAGCCTGGTCTCAGAGATGGTAAAAGCTTGCCTCATATCACAGAGAAAGTAAGCATGAAAATCAAGAGTGAAATCCAGATCTGTCTCTATAATTAATCGCCACATTAGGCTTTGCAAAAGAGCTTTCCATGAT